TGTGTGTGTCTGTCAGTGATTGTGTGTGTCTGTCAGTTTGTTTTAAATCAGTGAGTGTGTGTATGTCAGTGTATCTGAGAGTGTGTGTCTGTCAGTGAAAGTGTGTGTTAGGAAGAGCTGTGGCTTTGACAGGACGGGGTGTGGAAAGTTTAAATTAGGGCGTGCCCGAGTTCCGTCATGTCTAGGGCAGCACAGATCCAAAATACACCACTGTGCATGTTGGGGATTTGTGAATAAAAAAGTAAGCAGTTTATAGTAATGAATTCACAAGGAGAAAATATATTCAGAATTAGAAAAAAAATCTTACTATCCCACTATTTTCCTAATTTTCATTATTTTGGCTTTTCTGTAATTCTATTGTCCATTCATCTCAATTGCCAATTTAGTAAATAATCCACATTTTTTATATAGTCATTAAAATTAAAATGTAAAAGAGAAGAATATGAAAAGGAAAGGAATTATTTGAAGAAACCTTCAGATAACACTTGACATTTGCACAGTCGTTATTCGGCATGTGCTACCCCCTTATACTTAAATAAGACACTGACACCGATAATTCTGTTGGAGTACAAAGTCCACAGCTTTATTAATTAATTATAATAAATTAACATAATTTAGGGTCATTGTCCTTCTAGACATTATGTTACTACACCCCCACACAGTACCCCTGACAATGACCCTACCAGTTGAACAATAAATAACAACAAATAACATATAACTTGAAACACACGGCCTACCAAAGAGGCCCCATATCATCCAGTTAACTGTAGGGGTATACCTCGGACACCCCTACACCCCCAGGTTCGTAGCCACCGAAGAGCTAGAACCAACCAATCCTTAACTCCATCCGGCCTAAACCTCGGCCTGTCCAGTTCAAATTCCACGCAAAATTCCAATATTTACAACGCCCTGTTCCGCCACAGCACATGGCTTGACCCCCTTAAGCGAATGTGCGACCCCCACCACATCTAAACAGGGCCTGTGCTACACCATCTTGAAAACCCAGGTTAAGCAAATCATTCCCCACGTCCGATAGGTGTATACCATCCCTCCTAAAATATCCCGGCAACATACCCTCTAATTCCCTGTGCCTCACCACTACGCCCCCTGACCGTCTAATAAAGACTGCCATAATCTTGTTGACCTTACCCCTAGATCGTGCTATTGCAGTTGGATCCCTGGCGTGCTTCCACGTAAAGCGAGGCCCCATCTCAGACCAAACTACAACCACGCCAGGCACCAGCTCCCTCAGCCGATCCATATCCCTCTTCATCTTCCGAACCAGCAATCTTTGGGGAATCAAACCCAGATCGTTCCCCCTTCCGTGAACCAATACCACATCTGGGACCGCCCCCCCAGACAACTTTCTAAATAATGCGCTGCAGAGACCCTGCCAGCTAGTGCCCCTCAAACCAAACCATGATAACTCCACCTGTTCCAAAGGAAAGCCCAGCTGCGATCCACATCTTCGAACTGCGGCTCTCTTCTGTGCCCAGTACACATATGAGTGTCCCATCAACCAAACTTTCAAACCTGAAAAGAAACAAAATTAGTTGCAAAGGAGACAACTTCCCCCCTTTCCCAAGTTCCTACACAACGCTTACTCACACCAGCCTGTCAGGCCTCACATACGTGCGGAACCGCATGGATTCCCACCTCCCGATCTGTTTAATCCGCTCGTCACCCAAACCTAACCGTGCTGCCTCCGTCGCCGCGCCTATGCGGAACGAGTGCGTCCCAAATTGCTTGGGCTCCAAGCCCAGCCTCTGTAAACCCGCGCGAAAAACCCGTATAAATTGGAAACGGGACAAAGCCGTGCCATCAGCGTGCAGGAAAAAACAACCAGCAATCCCGGGACGGACATTCAAGTACCGCGCACCGCAAGCCACCGGGCATGCCCTTGAACCCGGTAACTCATACAACACCACCGAGCACCCTTTACCGAACACGTCCGTTTTAGAGCAGCGCAACCTGATCTGCACCCTGTCGTTGCATAAATCCACGTCCTCGAGCAGCAATCCGCCGACCCCCTTCTTGTTGGTGCTAACCAGCTCACCAATTCGGAAGGCTCCGAAGAACGCCCATACAAACGCTCCCGAAAATAGCGCCACCTCAACAGGAGAATGACACAACCCAGCTAACGTTCCTAACAGCCCCTGCAACACCGCGAACGACACCGGTCTTCTCGTGTCCCCGAACTTCTTACCCTTCCGAAAACCTTGAATCGCCTGTCGTATCACGAAATTCTTCGTGATGTCATCCCAACCATTGAACTTAAATAAAAAGGCCAGGGCAGACATATACCTGTCTACCATGGCCGGTGAAGCCTGCCTCGAGAACAAGCGACACAGCAGCCATAGAAGCACATCCACCCGCTGCCCCGCCGAACAAACGCCTCCTACCTGCTGAACTGTCTCCTCCCATTCCTTCCAAACCTTAACGTAAGACGACCACGTGCTTGGCGCTAACGAGTTCCCTATATACTCCCCAAGCATGACGTCCCGAGCCGCCACATCTCGTCTGGGCAAGCCTGCCCCATCTCCTGGGCGTCCGGCGCCGCTTCCCAGAATCGTTCCCACTGAAAACGAGAAAGCGCATCAGCCACCACATTCAACAAACCAGGGATGTGCTTAGCCCTAAATACCAAGTTGAAGGACATACAGAGAAGTACAAACCGCCGCAACAAACATAAGACCGGGGGGGAAGATGCAGACAAACTGTTGATCGCCTGCACCACCGCCATGTTATCAGAGTGAACACGATTTGCCTGTTCGCTAACGCCGGCCCCCATAATCCCACCGCCACTACGACCGGAAATAATTCCAGAAACGCCAAATTTCTTATTAGCGGGCTTTCTTTCCACGCTGCAGGCCACTCCTCAGCACACCAATTACCCGCCAGATAAGCCCCAAAGCCGACACTGCCCGAAGCGTCGGTGTATAGCCCCACCTCTGCCGCCGCCGCTGGTTCCCTGAAAAACACCTTCCCATTAAAATCCCGTAAGAACCGGTCCCACACCCTTAAGTCCGCCTTCATATCCGCTGAGACCCTGATGTAGTGCGACGGCCTACGCACCCCGCTTGTCGCTCATGCCAGCCGCCTACAAAAAACCCTCCCCATTGGTATAACCCGGCATGCGAAGTTAAGGCTCCCCACTAAAGATTGAAGCCCCCGCAGTGTCACTTTCTTAGCCCTCCCTACCGTGGCCACCCGCTCCTTCAGATCCACTAGTTTGTCTAAAGGTAACCGACATTTCCCTCTTTCGGAATCGATTTCCAAACCCAAAAAGCTAAGGCACGTCGTGGGCCCAACCGTCTTGTCTCCCGCCAAGGGAACCCCGAAAGAGTGTGCGACCCATTGAAACACTTCCAATACTTGCCTACACCGGCCCGATCCCCGCGGGCCGACGCAGAGGAAGTCATCAAGATAGTGCACCACCGCGTCCCCTGCCGATTCCTTCCGTACCACCCATTTCAAAAACGTACTAAATTTTTCAAAATAGGCGCACGATATGGAACAACCCATTGGTAAACACAGATCCACGAAATAATCCCCATCGAGACAGCACCCGAGCAAGTGATGGCATTTTGGGTGTATAGGCAGCAGCCAGAAGGCTGCTTCCACATCCACCTTCGCCATCAGCGCACCATGCCCCATTCTCCGGACCAACTCGACAGCCTTGTCGAATGACGTATAAGAGACGGAGCTGAGGGCCGCGTCAATGTCATCATTTACCGATGCCCCTTTTGGGTACGATAAATGATGTATCAACCTAAACTTACCCGCCTCCTTCTTGGGAACCACACCGAGTGGGGATATCCGTAGATCGGCCAATGGTGGCTCCAAGAATGGGCCCGCCATCCTCCCCAGCTGCACTTCTTTGCTCAACTTATCCCGCGCTACCCCTGGGTGCTCCCGAACTGACTTGAGATTACCACACATCGTACCCGGTCCCCTAACCACGAAGGGAATAACAAATCCTTCTCTAAATCCCTGCCACAGAAAGGCTGCATCTGCCCTATTAGCGTACTGCCTTAGCCAAGGTAACATCACGTCTATTTTCACTGGGGATGCCCCCAGCTGTAGCAGCGGGGGCCGCTGCCCCCCCGGACTCCCCTCCTCCTCCAAGCTTACCTTTCTTGAAGCATCGGCTGGCGCCATGAGCCCCCCCGCAGCCGGAAAACACTCATGTCTGAACCTGCAGGAATTCCCCCACTTGCAGTGTCCCTCGTTGTACATCCAGCAGAAGCCTTTCTTTTGCCCAGCCAACACAGCACCCCCTGCGGCCGTGCCGGCTGGCCCAAGAAAGGGCGCAGCCTTTTGCGCCATCATAAGGCGCATCCATAATGGCAGATCCATTTGATCCCACCGCATGCTCGTATTCACCGCTAGCCGTTTGCGAAATTGCTCATCATACCTCCACCACGCCAATCCTCCGTAGGTTCGATATGCATCACCTATCCCATCCAGGTAGCAAAAAGGTTCCGAACAACGTCCCGGGTTTTTTCCCCTATAACGCTTGCCAGAATACAGAAGGCCCGTAGCCAATTCCCAAAAGTTTTCGGTATCTTGCGATACCTCCGCCTTTTTTCCTCTTCCTCTTTCTTGGCATCTTTTTTATTCTCCTCTTTCAAGTCCAAGAATTCCTCGAGGGGGAGAAGGGAAAAGATCTCTACAAACTCACCTTTCCAAATCTTATCTTTTAAGTCTGCTTTTAAGTGGCATCCCAGGGGGCCCGCGAAGGACACGTGCACGTTTTGCCGCGCCGCATCCGGGATATCACTACCCCCTTCCGCGTGCTCCCCCCCGCCGCCGACCATCCCTGACGACCCCGTCGCGTCGCCGGCCTCGCCTCCGTATGGCCCTGCCGGTAACGCCCCGCGCGCTCAACCGCCTTGTCCCGACTACCTTCCCGCGACCATACCCGCCCGAATTCCAGGGGCGACCCACCCTTATCCGACCAAGAATCCCCCAAAAAATTTAAATCACGTAATAACTGCCCTGAGTGTCGTGCATGTGTGGACTCACCGCTCAAGCCCCTGGCCGCAGCTGGCCGCAGGGGCGCCGTCCTTCCGTCCACCTCTACAGGTACCGGAGTGTCTTGTTGTCGCCGACTCCCATCCGCCTGGTCCCGCCTCGAGACCGTAGGGGTATTGCTCCGTGACCTGTAGGGAGAAGAAAACCTGGGTAGTCTGTTCAGCGTAGGGTCTACCCGCCCTTCCTCCCCACGTTCCATTTGCCTCGCAAAACGACTCCCCCTGTAATCAGCTCCCCTTGATTGGACCTGGAATCTCCTGTCTGGCGAACCAGACGTGCTACGCTGACTCCTTCGCGTTCTATCCCTAGACGTGGACCTCCCGCAGTCTTCCCTGCAACAGGACCTAGCTGCGCTGCATCTGCTCCGCGCTGGTGACCTCTCACCGCTTCCTTGACTCCCTGCTCTGCTCCTCGTGCTACTGCGCCTGACGCTTGCACAGCGCCGCTCTGCTCTCCTCTCACTCCTTGCGTCTTCCCCGTCCGTATGCTGACCCAGGGAGCAGCCAGAAGGACCCTCCCATCTGCTGCCACCGCCCCTGTCACCTCCAACCAGGGTGGCTCTTCGCCTGTCTCCCGCCACTGCTGCGCCTGGCTTCCCTCCAGCCGCCTTTCCTGTCGATGAACCCTTTCCCTGGCTGATCGCCGTGCTCCCTGATCCAGCCATCTCCTGTGCACTCAGGCCACCACTGCCATCCTCCCTCCTGACCCCTGCCTGGGCCGTCCCTGCGCTGACCTCGCCGTCCCAGCCTCCCCCAGACACATGGGGGGCTGTTCTTGTCCCCATTCCTCCAATATTAACCTTTCCCTGCCCCACAGCGGTGCCAACAGTGGCTGACTCACCGGGACGTTCAGGCCGCTCCATCTCCCCTGCCTGCCACAGACCCGCGCGCCGTGTGTCGTCCATCCGCCGGGTGCTTTACGGCCGTCCTCGCCAGACCTCTGCCGCGCCCACCAGCCCGAGCCGTACTCCTTCCCGGCTCCACGACCGGGACCTCTCCTGCCCCCGTGGACGCTCCTCCTCCTGCTGAAGGGCTTCTTCGGCGTCTCGCCACGAGCCCTGCGCCCGGGCTCAGCCGCTGCGGCGGCCTCGTCCTCCGGAGTGGTCGGCGCGCCGTTACCGCTGGGGAAGGCCCGGCTGCCCCCAGCTATTGATTCAGCCACTCGAGTCCACGGTCCCTCACAGCCGCCCGGACTCCCTCCAGGAGCTCTTCCAACGCCGCCATAGACCTGCAGAAAGACAAAAGAAAAAAGGAACCTCGCTGACCTGCAACAATCTACAGGTAAGAGAGGCTCCGGTTAAAATGGCCCCTTTTCTAATATGGCTGCTCCTTATACTCCTACTCTCCACCCCCCCAAACTCCACACCCTAAACCCGGCCCACAAACCTAAGCCCATGCCCACTGCCTGGCTCTGTCAAGGCCCACTCCCCACACTGCGTTGCTCCATGGGCTACCTTATTTATCACTTACTCTATTACTACTTTTATTTCCTATATACATTTTTGTACTAGTTAGATAACATGTTATTACATTTCAATATAATGAATAAAACCCTGACACACCAGATATATTATACTATTTAACGTACTATGAAAACATAAACATCCACTTTATCTACACGTTACATTCCTTTATGTCCTATACTGCAACAAAATTAAATACGATCAATACATCAAATAACACATATCGTAATCTCAACCATGTTAAAAAAATAACAGACTGGGGGCGGAGCTTGCTACAGAACGAGAACAGACGCATCTTCTTGTGGCTCCCCAGTAATCCTTCAATTTGGGGTGATTATCCCTAAAATTCCTGACCACCTAAGGGAGAGACATATCGCAAACACCCCAAGGGGCCTCCCAGCTCGGACGGATGCCACTTGTTCACAATCTGAAGCCAAGAAAAGTGAAACGCAGGCATCCGGCCTACTACCAGCTTATCCTGGCCAAGATTAAAGCGCTCCTAGGGGGATCCCAAACAACAGACTTCCACTGCACAACCCACTATGGATGGTGGCGAGACACCCTCGGCTGCCTGGGCATGGGACCCTGATCTTCTGATCCCTTTTGTGACACGTGGCGCTCTGCTGACCCAAACGGAGACCTGACTGTAACGGAACGCTGGCACTCCGACTGAGTACCTCCGCCAATCGATGCTCCTAGTGCTCGCTGAGGACTCCAAGCACTCCAACCGACACCATCAGCACTGCAGACCCCACTTCCAGCCATGCAACTGCGCCGGGTTCTCTGCTGTCTCCACCCACCCTGGACCCAAGGCCAGGATCCAGCTTCCAGTGGGTGAACCTCTCTTTCCCCAGAGAGCAGGAACAGGAACAAATCAAGCTATTGCAAGAGCTTCCTCTGGGGAGTAAGTGATTATAGCAATCCCCAGAGTGCAGGTATCCCTTTCCCCAAACATGAGCCAAGGCTTAATGCTGGAACAAGACTGATTTACTGGCACACAGATATCATAATTTATGCAACACAAAACTCCTCCTCTGGGCCAGGCTAGATAATTGAGTTTCTACAATACACAAAGCTCAATTATCTGCTGGCCAGAAATAATACAGTTTCATAAAACACACAGGGACCCCAAAACATGCAATAACCCCATAAAAAAACGGGGGATCTGGGTGAACCACATATCCAAAATTCACCCAGATCAGTTCAGTACTTTGGAAAATACAGTTTAATGCAGATTCTGCAGAACATATACAGGCTAAATGAAAAACAATCACTTTATAATGTGTCCCCTGCTGTATAGTCCAAAACCACTGCACAATGTCTCTGTGCACCAAATACCGGCGAGATGGCACCGTGTTGAAAAGTCCAAACAGTGTCTGTGAGTTAAAATGGCCGCCCTCCATTGTTCTCACCATGTGCTTCTGATACAGGAAATGGTGGCCACCCAGTAACTCCACAGTATGTCTCCAGATGGTTCTTAAAGGGCCAGCAGCAGCACAACACAAATCCATTATGCCCAAATCATGTCTTTAAAGGGCAATACATCCCAGGGGCCATAGTCACAGGGCAAGAGGCGGGCAAGCAGTCCTCTCCAGGCACAAGTGGCGAAGGGCACTTCGTCACACTGACTGAATCAACTCGCAATACCACGGAGAACCAGACCCTTTGATGTTAAGGATTGTTTTATTGTTTAATATGTTTCTTTCACAACCTGTTTTATGTACACCCCACTATGACGCCATCTCTCTTTCCACCTAAGTGCCTGAGTTAGTTGGACCAGTAAGCTCCACAGAACGCTTTCCCAGCACACACCACTCAAAGCCTTAAGCAAGATGCACTGTTTCACCCTCCCCCCCTCCCCCCCCCGCAGCCCACTTGGTTAGGGGCACTTTAACGTGACATACAATACAGCAAGGCCTAGGCTGTGAGTCCCTGATTGTCACTCCCTAGCTAATGACATCCATTCTATAGGTGCACTGACCGACACTTGACCCCGCCTAGGCCACAGCACGTAACTGATGCAAAGCGACCCCCCCATAACAGGGTTTACTAATCCCTTATCACGCTTAGGTAATTTGAGAAGCGATCATTGCACATCTTAACTGTTCTTAGTACCTATTGTTAAGCTGTTCCAAACTCATCAGAGCTGTACAGAACAACCATAATTATTGAAAGATTTGACTATACAGTCTTGTTTTCGTTTCTCGCAAAGAAAACAGCCTGCATTGTATGTTTAATTGCAATATAAAAAGGTGCACGTAACTCAAAACACATATATTGTACTGCTAAGATGTCTTATGAAACTCTCACAAAAAGTAATGAATCTATTTAACTGTCCGCATATGCACTGCAAAAAAAAGAATAAAAAAAAATTAAAAAATTAAAATAACAGACTTACTGTAAGTAATAAATAGAGAATATACATACTACACATACATAAATATTAGATTACTTTAGTAAACTTGTTTAATAGAATTTCACCTACATAGAAACATTGAAACATAGAAGGTGACGACAGATAAGAACCAGCCCATCTAGTCTGCCCAATTTTCGACATACTTTCATTAGTCCCTGGCCTTATCTTAAGTCTAGGATAGAATATATAACATACGCTCTTACCTAAATTTATTTCACATTTATTTAAATGTATTTGCTTTACCTTGTTTTTTACTCAATGAATTGTATACACAGATAATTTATTGGCATACCATTCTCACTGTAAAAAGGAACATTATACATAGTAAACCTACTATTGCTATGATTATATATTTTTATACAATATTGACACAAATGCTACTGTGTAAACCACACTATTATAATATAATGCAACCTTAATGTATGTCATATTCATGCAAATTATCCTGTATCACCTTTCTTATCAATAAAAATTTATTAAAAAAAGAAATTACAAAATAATATAAACTATAGTTCTCTCCATTTACACAACTCATTTATGTGGCTGTAACACAGAATAAGCATTACCAATAGCAGGTTTGCAAAGAATAACTCTAACGGATCACTATAGTGTCAGGAACACAAACATGTATTCCAGACACTATAGTGGTAAAATGACTCTCATCCCCCTCTCTTTACTTTAAAAAGGTGAGTTTAATAACCTTTTTTACCTTTTGTCTCACCATGACTGGCCCTGCCTCGCTCCACCTACGTCATCAGATTTGACAATCTCAGTCAATCCAATGCTTTCCCATAAGAAACCATTGGGAGGCTATTGTGCATGCATGCGCGGCAAAATGTTGCACTGCGCCAATCAGCATCTCCTCGTAGAGATGCATTGAATCAATGCATCTCTATGAGGAAAGTTCAGTGTCTCCGTGCAGTGTGCAGAACTGACCCAGGAAACACCTCCAATGGCCATCTGAGTGACTGCCTCTAGAGGCGTTATAAGGCTGAAATGTAAACACTGCATTTTCCCTGAAAAGTATTTACATTAAAAAGCCTGCAGAGACATTAAGCTGTAGTTGTTCTGGTGACTATCGTGTCCATTTAAGGACCAACCAGCAGAGCAAGCTGTCAGGATCTCCTCATATGCCCAGTGGACAGGTGATCCTATAATTGGGTTTACCAATACTGACAATCCCTTCATGGCTGAACACAAAGCATTAATATTTCATACATTGCTGGATACTGTTATAGCAATGGTTGTTAAGCACAGGCCCTGCATATGACGGTAATAAGAGAATTTAATGAAGCTG